TTTCCTCCCCTTTCGACCTCCCGAGCGATCACCACACTTGATGCTCTGGACATGAGCCTCCTATTTCAATAACGTTCCCAGAATCGATCTGTTTATACTTGAGTATAGCATTTCCGGTTGATGACGAGAACGGAGCTTCTTTCCCTTCCAAAGTCTTTCTTTTATATTTCACTATCTTCCCCTTTTCTCCTTCTCTCCCTCCTCCAAATGATCTTTTCCGTTTTTCGTTTCTTCTTTTGAACTGCAGCCCTCGATCTTTTTTGGACATCTTTCAATTTCCGGGATGTCAAAGGTAATGGTGCTAAGTACCAAAGCATAGGAAATAGCTGCCATTCTCTCGCTGAACGTGGGGCAAAATTGTTAAAGAATTACTCATACTGTGAACGTGATGACTAGAGCAATAGGAAATATAGTTACATTATTTCGTGTTACTTTTTAGAAGAAGAAGAAGAAGAAGAAGAAGAAGAAGAAGAAGAAGAAGAAGAAGAAGAAAGAAAAAGAAGAAGAAGACCAAGAGGGAGGAGGATAAGGAAGAGGAAGAGGAGGAGGCGGAGTAGGAAAAATTAGAACAAGCACAAAAACAAGAACAAGAGTGAGAACAAGAACTAGAAAAGGAGGAAGAAGAAAAGCAATTAGAACAAGAGCAAGAACAAGAAGGAGAACAAGAAGAGAGATGGAAGCATCAGACTGGAAAGCGTCCCCGACAAGCCGGAGTCCCAAAACCTTTTCCCCCACTCGCACACTCCGGTGCAAAAGACTTACCACTTAAACAGCGGTCTTTTCTCTTGGGCAAATACAATTTTATCTCGAGACTGGTTCGTCCTCAGCTCTTACCAACTACAGACGCAGGACGTTATTGGGTTACTTTCTTTGTATTTTCCCCCAAAAAGTCAAGGTTTTCCCCGTTGATTATATCACTGTAGTGGCACCAAGGTGGTCAGAAACATGTGGGTGTGTACTCTTCTTAAAATATTTCTTAGAACTTGACCCAGACGTAGAACAAACAAGGGGTAAATCTCGTACGCAGTTGCTTGGAAATAGCACAATAGAAAGATGTTATTTTTTAAATCGAAGATAACATCATTGATAAGATAGTAAGGGTAGTCCGTGGAATTGAAAGATAGTTTGCTCAATTCAAACCTGCTTCGAGTTCCAGCGTTTGGAATAAAGGTATTGTAAACGTTCTTTCCTTGCTTTATGTATTAAAAACTTAAGACAGCTCCTTGCCAATGTCCCACGATTTCTTGTTTCTCTTTCCTTTTTTTCCCCTTCTTTTTCATTTTGAAAACTTTCCCCAAACATTTGGAAAAAGCGATTCCGTGACCTTGGATATCTGATATCATGTGACCTGTGATAATGAAACGCCCACACCTTTACTCATTGCTACAGGGTTGTTTTTTTCTTTCCTTTCCAGCGCGTTTGCTCTCGCAGGACGGTTGTCGGTGTGAATCTCCGCTTCTTTTGTGTGCTGTTCTCATGAATTTAAAACGAAGCCGTTTCCTTAAATTTAGACAATTTTTCATCCATGCTCTTCAATAATTCAAAACTCTGCTGGTTATCTCCTTCTCAAGTGTATTTTTGAGCAATTCTTCTCTGACTTGTTTTCTTTTTTCTTCTCATTTGACCATGGCAAGCCGACCTGAAACTTTCTGAGTATAAACCTGAGATGTTCCCGTGGGTGCTAATGGTAATCACTGTCATCGACCTCTCTCCTTCCTACAATGTGCTTTTGTGTGTTTAAAATGTTCTCTTATCCAGACACTATCAGTCCGACATTTTCACGCCGAAATTTACAGTTCTCTGTCAGTGAGTCAGTCAGTCTGTCTGCCTGTCTGTCTGTTTGTCTATCTGCCTGCCTGCTTTCCTGCTTGCCCCTCCCCCCTCCCTCCCTCTCTCTCTCTCTCCTTCTCTCTCTCTCTCTCTCTCTCTCTCTCTCTTTCTTTCACTCCCTCTAATTCTCTCTTTCCCTCTGCAAAAATATTTGTGACTCTGCATATCTGCCCCTATCTTTCTGTCTGTCTGATTGTTTGTATGTGCGTTGCGTATATGTGTGTGTGTGTGTGTGTGTGTGTATGTATGTGTGTGTGTTTGTATGTGTGTGTGTGTATGTGTGTGTCTGTGTGTTTGTGTGTGCGTGTTTGTGACCTGATAATACACACAGACACACACACAGACACACACACAGCACACACACACACACATACACACACACACACACACACACACACACACACATGCACACACCACTCCTACACACATAATAATGTAGCTGTGCCCTTGTTCTGCCCCACAATCGTGTTTTTCTTTTAAGACCTACCATCTCTTCACCCCACCTTCTCAAGGAACACATAACAGACTGAAACACATTGTCCACTTCCTGGGGCGGCCGCTCCAAATGGTTTGGGACTGAGAATATCTGAAAAACGTAGTTTTTAAATTTTTTAAAATTCATTGTTAGATTTTGATAAGACTTTGCCAAACCAATAGGCTAAGTGAGTAGGGAGTTTTGACTCAAGAGTAAAGTCAAGCAAGTGCCGGTGACTCGGGGGTCAGATGGATGATCACTGGGGTGTACCCTTGAGCAGGACACGACAACCTCAGCTCAACAAATAGTGCACTGCACAGCGGCAACAAGCAATGACATGGTTGTGAAATTGTTCTGTTTTGGTGTAATATTGCGCATTTTGTCTGTATATGTGTATGTATTTATGTATGTATGTATTAATAATTATATTTTTACGTATGTGTATATGTTTGCAGTTGTAAACCAAATAGTCCTTCTGGAGTCAACAAAATGTAATTTATTTTTATTATTTTTTAATTTAGATTAAAGTCTTTCAGTGAAACGCGGTTCCTGAATTAGACCAGGTTCCCCATTCTCATTATTAAAATCCACTAGCATTTTGTAGCAAACTTCCCCAATCGTGCTTTAACAATTTTTTTGCTTGACTCAAAATAGAATTAAGGGTATTGTTTTGGTTTTTTGTGTTTCAGAAGTTTGGTTTATACTTCGAGGAACCTTGGGCTTCATTTTACTGTATTTTAAATGTCTGTATATTGATTCTTGACTCGACATTAAGGCTTTGAACATCTTTCTTTTATACAAAAAATATAAGGCTAACGAGGCAAGCCTGATAAAATTATTCGGAATACCTAAACAGATGGGTGACGGAGAACACCCATATAATAGAATTTTTGAGAGCATACGAGCGGAGAAATGAATGGAGAAACCTGATCGCCGATGTCTGTTTAAGATAATACGTCATTGTATGAGGATGATAATCATACTTGGGATCTCGGATGAATAATCAAAGAATAAAACTCGTGGCCGAATTAAAGGATGTCAATATGTTTCGGAAGTCTAAAGATCTAATTCGATTCCATTGCGTGCTCTCTCTCTCTCTCTCTCTCTCTCTCTCTCTCTCTCTCTCTCTCTCTCTCTCTCTCTCTCTCTCTCTCTTTCCCTCTCTCTTTCTTTCTCTCCACCTCTCTTTCTATCTCCCTCTACCCCCCCCCTCTCTCTCTCTCTCTCTCTCTCTCTCTCTCTCTCTCTCTCTCTCTCTCTGAAGCACATACATACATACACACACACACACACACACACACACACACACACACACACACACACACACACACACACACACACACACACACACACACATACACACACATCCCCCCCCCGTACCCTGACCCTTGAACTTGTCCAAAGTTTACAAATTTCATCCCTGATCCCGTCTATTGTATTATAGATCCAGTCCTTCAAGCCTCTATCTACCCAGTGTTTGATGTCAGTTTAGGGGATAGGCTCAATTACAAGCCTGACGTTTGGATAAAAGAAGCTCACCAACGAGTTCGCACCTCGGCTTGATCCCTTCTGGGTCAAACGTTGTACCCATTCATCAAGATATACGAGTCTCGTCAGTTTCTGGGCTTAAGGTGTTATTGGTAACATATTAAAGCCTGTTCATTTGCCTTCTTTTTTGATGAAAAAAATATTGTACTATGCTGAATAGAAGTCGAAATATTTGCGGTTGAAGTAGGTCAGGGTCGCCACGTATCAAATGTGAAATTAGTGATAAAATGGCCGCCAAAGTTTGGTAACTTCCATAGCTTGAGAGTCCCTGGAAGTTAAACTTGACATTTGTTGTGTCTTAATCAATGTTTTTCAGTAAAATCCACACAGAAACGTGTTCATAGCTGTATAAACGGTGTTGAGCCAAAATTTAAAAAAAAAGAAAATTATTTAAAAAATTGCCCAACGGTCAGATAAAGGCCAATTTCTTTGATTTCATTATTTCAAGCACCTGATTTCACTACGATGCTACGCGTCAATGTGATGGCATTCACTAGAGTGGATGATGTGTGGCGTGACGAGGTGTACACGGATTGCAAATTTCTCTGCTTGATTGATCAAGTGCGCAAGCCCGGGTTTTGTGCTGCAATTAGATGAATTTAACTTTCCAGAGGGAGATCTTAGGGATGACCTTTTGTTGTAAAAATTGTGTTTTCTTAAAACAGCTGGATTTAAGCAAACGGGATCATAAGCGATATCATGCGTCAAAGAACCTTCAATGGACTACCCACAATATTGTGCTGAAGAAGAAGAAGAAGAAGAAGAAGAAGAAGAAGAAGAAGAAGAAGAAGAAGAAGAAGAAGAAGAAGAAGAAGAAGAAGAAGAAGAAGAAGAAGAAGAAGAAGAAGAAGAAGAAGAAGAAGAAGAAGAAGAAGAAGAAGAAGATGAAGAAGAAGAAGAAAGAAAAAGAAGAAAGAAAAAAGACAAGAAGAATGGTATCTCTACTAATAACTATAATTTAATTGCTTTTGCTTTCTCCTCCACAGAGTGAACTGTACGTTGTGCTCAAAGACATCTATTTTGTCACAAGCATTGTGTCTCTCGTCTTCCTCCTCGTTACACTATTCATCTTCTGCTACTTCAGGTAAGCATGATAGTTTGTCACTTAAAAGTTAAAAACTATGATGTTATCTCTAACAATATTTTAAAGAGAAATTCAATCCTATAGGTTTCTATATACAAGGGTCATGCTCTTAAGCTTTGTTTTTCACAATCAAATGCCTATCACATACACGCCGCACGCACGCACGCACACTCTCACACACACACTCCTCTCTCTCTCTCTCTCTCTCTCTCTCTCTCTCTCTCTCTCGCTCTCTCTCTCTCTCTCTTTTTTTCTCTCTCTCTCTCTATCACACACACACACACACACACACACACACACACGCGCGCACACACACACGCACACACACACACACACACACACGCACGCAGATACGTGCACACACCTATCCACAAGCACACACACACACTTACTCACACACACACACACACACACACACACGCACACAAACAAACACACACACACAGATACGTGCACGCACCTATCCACAACCACTCACACATACTTGCACACTCTCTCTCTCTCACACACACACACTCACACACACACACACACACACACACACACACACACACACATATATATATATACACACACACATACACACACACTCACAGACTTACACATGGACTGACAGAAAAAACTGTTACATAATTTGTGCCATAGAAAAGCATTCATAAACAATTTAGCAATCTTGGTTTTTCGCACTGTGTGTGATAACGCATGTCAGTTGGTGAAGTAATGAAATACTGTAGGTTGTTTGTACGACCCAGATTTGCAAACGATTGGAGGAGGCGACCGTTTTATCTTGCCAATAGTTGATTTTTAAAAACGTGTTTATAAAGTGTATTCTGTAAATAAAAAAAGGGAAGAAAACAAACGGAACCCCCCCCCCCCCCCAAGTATTTGTAAAGTGTATTCTGTACAGAGTCCAAAACCACCTATGGCAATTAGTGATATTCGAGATAGGGGTAGGAATAACAACAATAATAATAATAATAACAATAATAATAATAATAATAATAATAATAATAGTTGTGCACGACTCTCTTTCGTCAATTTTTAAGCTAGACTTTGGAGTGCCTCAAGGTTCAGTATTGGGTCCAATTTTGTATACGTTATATACGCAGCCGCTTGGAGCTGTGATTAGAAAGCACAATATGAATTATCACATGTACGCTGACGATACACAGTTATATAAATCTGTTCCACCATCAGATGTTGAAACCTTGCTTACTACGATGGGTCTGTGTATTGATGACATCAAAAAGTGGATGGTTGATAATAAGCTCCAGCTTAATGAAAATAAAACTGAAATTCTGTTATGTAACCCAAAGAAAAGCCATATCCCCGTAGACATTGATCATATTTGTACTGAAAATGAAACACTGTATTTTACTAACAAAGCACAAAATCTAGGAGTGTATTTTGATTCAAAATTGTCAATGGAACATCATATCAATTATTTATGTACCATTTTATTTTGTGAATTGCGTAGAATTGGTCATATGTCTATGTTTTTGAACGAACACTCGTTGAAAACGCTCGTGTCATCTTTCTTGTTTTCACGCATCGATTATTGCAATGCTTTACTAGCTAACTTACCAAATACGTCTCTTCACAAGTTACAACGTTTTCAAAATCATGCTGCTAGGCTTGTACTAAAGAAAAAGAAGAGGGACCACATTACTCCCATGTTAAGAACGTTGCATTGGCTTCCCGTGTCAGCTAGAATGTCATATAAAATTGCAATATTATGTCATAAATGTGTCAATAACAAAGCTCCCTCATATCTTAGTGATCTCATCCAGATTTATGTTCCATCTAGATCACTAAGATCAGGCGACCAGTATCTTTTACGAGTTCCTAAAAAAGGCGGTAAAAAATTAGCCGAAAGATCGTTCGCCCACCTTGCTCCGTCAGTTTGGAACTCTCTTCCCCAACCCTTGAGACATACAACATCTGAGTCTAAATGTAAAAAATCTTTAAAGACACATTTAATGAAATCCTTTTTAAGTCAGTAGATTCATGTTCAGTACAATGTTATGTAAATGTCTATGTATCCATTTATGTATTTTGTGAATTGCAGTGTATATATTATTTTATTCTCATTTCGTGACGATGTGTAATCGTGTGCGTGCGATAAGCAAGTAGATGTGTGTGTGTGTGTGTGTGTGTGTGTGTGTGTGTGTGTGTATACGTGTGTGTGTGTGTGTGTGTGTGTGTGTGTGTGTGTGTGTGTGAGTGTGTGTTTGTGTGTGTTTGGCATACAGGTGTGCGTGTTATGTATTCGTGAGTGTGTATGCGTGTGTTTGTGTGTGTGTATATGTATATATGTGTGTGTTTGTGTGTATATGAGTGTGTGTGTGTGTGAGTGTGTGTGTGTGTCGCGTGCATGAATATTTTTCTTACATGCATTTATGTAAAGCGCCTAGAGCTGTGTTTACACGGGAGTGGGCGCTATAGAAATGATCTTCATTATTATTATTATTATTATAATAATAATAATAATAATAAAAATAATAATAATAATAATAATAATAATTATTATTATTATTATTATTATGATAATAATAATAACAATATAATAATAATGATAATAACACTAACAATAATAATAATAATAATAATAATAAGATAATAATGATAGTAATAATTAAAAGAAGAAGAAGAAGAAGAAGAAGAAAAAGAAGAAGAAGAAGAAGAAGAAGAAGAAGAAGAAGAAGAAGAAGAAGAAGAAGAAGAAGAAGAAGAAGAAGAAGAAGAAGAAGAAGAAGAAGAAGAAGAAGAAGAAGAAGAAATAGAATACTTACAATAATACAAGATAATAATTATAACAATATTAATATCAACAATGATAATACTACTACTACTACTACTACTACTACTACTACTACTACTACTACTACTAATAATAATAATAATAATGATAATGATACTAATGATACTACTAATAACAAATAAATAAATAATTATAGTAATAAAATGATAATTATTATTATGATAATGATAATAACTACAACAATGTTGCTAAATTTAATTTAAAAAACAAACACAGACAACAACAGCAACAATAGTAAGATAATCATGGTCATAATAATGATAACAATTATTTCAACAAGATAGTGCTGTGCACTTCGATTTGAGCCTAAACTATCCCAACCCTCATTTGTGAAATTGAACTTTTTGGCTGGGAGAAGCCAGAATGACATTTTCAATAATCGATTGATTAACAGGTCGTTTAACGAAATTTGCCATTTGATAGAGCAGATGATGGCACTGGGAGATAATCAGACACTTCGTTATCAGATAAGTCTTGGATTTCCTGAATTGATTAGAATCATTGGAAAGGAACGCTGTCATCCTGAATACTCATGCCGCAGTTATGCCCTTTTCTGCTTCCGTTATGGATTTCTTTGCTTCATTAATGACCGTTTCTTTTTCTAAAACTTTATGACGCTGTACCTGTAAGGACGTACGGTTGGTCAGTGTGGAATGTCGTTATCAGCATAGACAGCTATCGATCTTGACTCCCAATAAACAAAATAAAGATTCTGACAACGTACTGATTTCGAACACTATATTTTACCTTCTTGTTAACTCTAAAATCGAAAGTAGTGAAACTTTTGCTACATGTTAAAACTATATGGGGCCTCGTTGGGAAATCAGGCGCTCGTCAAATCAATGAAATCGAAGAAACCGACAATGTCCCATCCGGAGGGCAATATTTGTCGATTTTGAAAGGAGCTCTGCACCTTTCAGTCTCATGTCTCGACTTATATTATTCAAGATGATGGGTATTTCATTCATCAAAAAGATGAAAAATGAACATGCTTTTAGATCATACCAAATTCCATATGCCCCAAATTGTTGAGAGCCCGATTTCACAATGTCGTGACACATAACATTATTCAGGATATCTTCAAGTTTTCCCATAATCTAATATAACAACTTTCGCACTTTGGCTTTTAATCAGACGCACAGTGAGCATTGATACCATTTGCTTTTCGAGCATTTATCAAGTCTAAGCAGCAGATTAGGTCGGAAATATGTGGTTTAAATTTGTATCCCTTAAGATGCAAATATTTTTGCAAGCCTTCAATGATAAATAAAGGAAACCGTTCAATATTTAACGTTAGACATTCTGCTTTTGGCTCCCATGGCAAGCAATCTATTTGAAATAATAATTATTTGATTACAAGAAATGCCGAACAGACATTGCGTTTCCAAAACTGGACCTTACCGGAGAAAGTTCATTGCCCTTAGACATATAAAAAAAACAGCCGGAATCTTTATACATTGTGCGTGGGTTGTTCGAAATGTAGGTTGGGAAGTCGAATGACTCAGAGACCCAATATTATTTTTAATCGGTAAAAAGGTGCTACAAAAGGAATTTAAATAAATTAACTTAATCACTTACAGCTCAAAAAGGGAACACATCTTGTTATGGCTGCTCACCAAAAATGGCCACTGCCATTAAGGAATTGTTAAAGATTGAAGCTTGCGCTGTTATTCAGTTTGTGAGCAAAAAAGGAAAAAAATCCATCTAAAATTCACTCTGAACTAGTGGCCGTATATCGCAATGGTGTAGTTAATAAATCAAGCACATAAATATCACTGGCACAGTACGTTTATAGAACTGCTTTCAAACATTTCAGGACGAACCACATTCAGGGGGGGGGGGGGGGGGGCAAAATTGTCAATATTATAAAACAATATCATGATGAAGATTGGTGCACTTATCATTGAGGATAGGAGTATCAAAGTGTGTGATATTGCCACGTCACAAGAGCTCCTACCAGCCACAGTTAAAAATGATTACCCAGCTGAGATACCGCAAAGTACATGTACCGGTTCGATGCTTCCCTAAACAAATGACAGAATAGCGCAAAATAAAGCGTGGATGGGCATCCCAGATACTTTGGAACGTTGCATGGGTGATGGTGACAATGCTGTTGGGCCAGATGATGACTTTGGTGTAGGAAAAAGAAAATTTTGTGAATGTATAATCACTGGCGATA